GGGTCTGGAGAACAAGTCTTATGAGGAGCGGCTGAGGGAACTGGGGTTGTTTAGCCTGGAGAAAAGGAGGCTGAGGGGAGACCTCATCGCTCTCTACAACTACCTGGAAGGAGGTTGTAGCAAGGTTGTAGGTGTTGGTCTCTTCTCCCAAGTAACAAGCAATAAGACAAGAGGAAATGACCTCAAGTTGTGCCAGGGGAGGTTTAGATTGGACATTAGGAAAAATTTCTTCACCAAAAGGGTTGTCAAGCATTGGAACAGGCTGCCCAGAGAAGTGGTTGAGTCACCATCCCTGTGGTGCTTAAGGACATGGTTTAGTGATGGACTTGGCAGTGCTAAGTTAACGGTTGGACTTGATGATCTTAGGGGTCTTTTCCAACCTAAATGATTCTATGAATCCCTCTATAAATTTTAAGCCAAGTGCTTCTTCCTGTGCACTTCAGTTTTAGGTGAAGAACAATACATTTTTCCCTTTAAAAAGTTTTCCGTTCGAAGGAGCTAATAAGGCCTAGATTCCTGTCAGTTGTTTCTCCTTCAGGTCCTTCATATTCCCTACAACTTCCCCTCAGTTTCCCACTTCAGTACTTCCCTGCCTTTAATACTTCCAGTAATAACTCCACTTCAACTCCTTGAAATCCCCCAAAAGTCATTGCAATGCATTCATATTACTGCCAAGTCCCAGCATATTTTTATCCAGCCTGACAATGGGGAAAAAGCTGTTGCAGCTGGCTTGTAGGTTTGTGTGTATTACCTGGTTAGATAACCCATGTATAATGGGCGGCCAAGGGACCCCTGCCCCGGCTGCTGTTCAAGGCAGGAAAGGACAATGCTCTCCCTGCCTTCACTTCCCTGCAGGGTGGTAACAAGAACTCCCAATCCCTGCCAACAACTTGTGCCACACTTCTAGGAATTCAGCTCCTTTGAAGTGTCCACCTCTTCGACAAATAGGGCAAAAATTGCACACGGATATGATTTCATCACTTCATTTCTGTAGGAAATCAGACTTATTTTTTTAGAAGAAAGACTTAAAAATTCTGACATTGCAACATAGCATGTAAATGTATCTGTATGAAGGAGTAGCTCTGCGACTATTTTGAAAGGAGGAGGAGAGTGGTTGATTATGAAGTATTCCTGGATTGTGGCATTAATGTGGAGTTTGAATCGTCAACTGTCACTTGGATCAGCAGTGTGGAATTCTTTGAGCTGGAGATTCCTTTTCATGTCCCTTTGGTGGGGAGCTCTTAAAACTGTGTGCTCTTCAGCCACATGGAGCATGTTGACTACACATGCGCCTCTTACACATAAGAAGTTCATATGCAAAAAGATACTTGCTTTTGTCTTTTCTTA